AGTGTCAGCGAAAGGGTTCTTCTTCATGGACTCAATGATGGTCCGAACATGCCGCTCGTCGGGCTCCCGAATCTGAAGGGGCCTCTTGCCGCTTCCATCCTTAGGCGGTCTTTTCAGGCAGGACATCGGGAGGGTAAAGGAATTGCTGTCGAGTTTCTTTTCGTTCAGCTCCTTTAATTCCTCCCACATGGCAGTCAGACGCTTTGCCTCGGTGTCAGTTGCGAGTTCTTTTGGCACCTGGAGTTGTTCCTGCACCTTCTCTTTCCCTTTGCCAGGCTTCGACTTCTTCGTCGCGACTGCTTTCTGTCTCTTGGACTTCGCACCAGATCCCGCAGCTGCTGCCACAGTGGAAGCGATGCAAGTTTGTGGCGATGTGACATTCGCACCTTCTGGCATCCTCAACAGTGGTCTGGGAGGAGGTTTGGAGGACGAGCCCCTGCCGTTTGCCGGCGTGCCGCTCTTTAGGAAGCTACTTAGTGTAATGCGCTCATTTGCCCTACTCGGAGGGAGCTGCTTACGAAGGGACGGTAAACAATATTCGCCAACGACCTTACAAAATTCCTGCAACGGAGTAGGAAAGGCGAGATCAGAGTCAACGACGCGGCATTATAGAACTATATTTCCCGAAAGGTCCAGCGAGTTAGACTCACAACGAGATAAGAGAACAACATTGCAAAAGCGAGTTAGACTCACAGCGAGATTATAGAACTACACTTTCACCAAATCGAAATGCGATCACAGAATTCCTACAACACTAACTCAACACATTCTAGAACTTTGAAGATGTGAAAAGGAAGGTACAACTCATGCAAGAGCATTAAAGAACTCTATTTTTTCTAACAACCAGAGCGAGATGTGATCACAGCGAATTGTGATGACAACATTTGAACAGTATTGGTTAAACACATTATAGAACTATAAACGTTTGAACAACATTTTAGAACTTTAAACACTTGAACAACATTATAGAACTATAAACGTTTGAACGAGATTATAGAACTATAAACACTTGAACAACATTATAGAACTATAAACGTTTGAACGAGATTATAGAACTATAAACACAAAGTCGAAGATTGAGGTGCTAGAAAACGTACCCTGAAGTCATTTTTAACAACCTTGTTCAGCCGGGCATCGAGTTTCTTCTCCCACACTACCATCTTCGCATGCCTGAGAACAAACTGCACCATTTTCGTCCCCACCACCAGCCAAACGAGTGCGATGCCCTCAATGCTGTTCTTCGCCGACGCAAAGTGAATAACCTTTCCAAACGACTCGTACTTTTCTTTCTCTGAGGTCTGAAGAAACAGCTCGACATGCGTGGCGACCAACGTGATCGTCCACATGCAAGCAAAGTACTTTATGGACTGCTTGACCATAGCCAGAACATCGACAGTGTTCTGAGTATTCTGGGTTCTCTGTTCGTCTTCCTCCTCTTCTGGATCTTCCTCCTCTTCTCGATCTTCCTCTTCCGCTCCTTCCTCGCTCCCTTCTTCTTCCTCGTCAAATTTTTCTTCCTCCTCTTCTGGGTTCTCCATTTCCTCCTCCTCCTCCTCCTCCTCCTTAGACACTTCATGTTGCTCCGTAGCTGCCGCATGTGCCACTTCCACAGGGACCAGCTCCTCCTCGAGTTCAAGTTCTTCCCGCGTGCGTGGCCTTTTCACRKGGGSGCCCTGGCTGCGCCTCCYAGAAGACGAAGACACCCCTTGGCCCCTCGATGGATTGCCCTTCGTTTTCGTCATTGTTGTAACCTGGAAAATCTGCAACACCTCATTGCTTCAGAGAGAGAGAGAGAGAGAGAGAGAGAGAAAGAGAGAGAGAAAGAGAGAGAGAAAGAGAGAGAGAGAGAGAGACACACACACCGGTCTCAGTCCAACAGCGCGGAGGGGGAAGTCTCAGGCCGAGAGGGGCCGAGTCAAATCCAGTAGGCAAAAGTCATGTCTCTGTTGCCCCGACGAATTCAAGGTGAACAGTCTTAGGGCAATAGTCACTCGGTTATACGACAAGGGCTCCTAACAGAGTGATTTTACAACTACACTTCAGCCAAAGCAAGATGCGATCACGGCATTTTGTAATTAGACTTTCGTCACAACCTTGGACAATTGCGCAAGGCTAACGAACTGCAGACCCTTCAACAGCATTAAACATGTTCAAACGCTTGAACGACATTTTTGAACTTCAAACACTTGAGCTTCCCCTGGCAAAAGTCGTCCCCAACATAAAGAGTCAAATCCCCAGAAATCATGTCGTTCAGGTAAGAGTCACATCCCACAGTCAAAAGTCGTGTTCCACAG